ATCTCTCAACAATTGATGCCTCAGGCCGATAAGGATTCTTAGAGTACCCTTTTAGGATTTTCATGTATCTCTCAAAAGGGTACATCCATCTTAAACACACAGGGCCACAAAGTCTTATCTCTCGCACAAGATGAGCTATCAAGTGGACCATAATATCAAAAAATGATGGAGGAAAATGCATTTCCAATTGAGAGAGAATCACATAACCTTCATTTTCTAATTCATCCAACTCAGCAGGATCAATGACTTTGCTGCAAATGGCACTAAAAAACATACAAAGTCTTGTAATAGTATTTCTCACATCGGTTTTCATAATGCCTCGAATAGCAAGTGGAAGTAATTGTTGCATCAACACATGACAATCATGAGACTTCATTCCCGTTATCTTCAAATCTTGCATTGAAACAAGTTTGCTTAAATTAGAAGAATAACCTTGTGGCACCTTAATAGTATTGACAAAACCACAGAAACTTCTTTTCTCTTCTTTTGATAATGTGTGCGCAGCTGGATGTAAATAAGCCCTCTTACCATCTCTTTCTTGTGGGTGAAGAACATTTCTTATTCCAATTTCGACTAAGTCTCGTCTTGTATTGATTCCATCTTTAGTCTTTCCACTTATATGCAAAAGTGTACCAACAAGACTCTCACATACATTCTTCTCCACATGCATCACGTCTAGACTATGCCTCACATCAAGACTTCGCCAATATGGAAGATCAAAAAAGACAGATCTTTTTTTCCATATATTTCTCTCACTGGCAGTCTTCTTCTTCTTCTTCTTACCGAAGACCACATTAATTCCCTCCACCCGCTGATAAACTTCTTCTCCAGTTAATGGTCTTGGAGCCATTTCATATTCTTGTGAGCCATTAAATGCCTTTTTCAATCTACGGTAAGGGTGATACCGACTAAGAAACCTTCTGTGACCAAGATATACTGTCTTCCTGCCATGTTTAAGTTGCATATAGTGGGTGCCTTCTTCACATATCGGGCATGCTTTATGCCCCTTAACACTGTATCCAGACAAATTTCCATATGCTGGAAAGTCATTTATCGTGGTGAAGATCATGGCACGTAAATTGAAGGTCTCTTGTTTATATGCATCAAACACATCAACACCTTCCTCCCATAATTTCTTCAGATCCTCAATCAAAGGTGCCAAATACACATCAATATCGTTTCCCGTTGTTTTGGCCCCGAGATCATCAAAGATAGCATGATATACTTTCTTTTCATACATAACCAAGGAGGCAAGTTGTAAATTACGAGGAGCACTGGCCAAGCACTGTGTGTGCTACTAAGATTACCATATGGGTTAATTCCATCCGTACAAAGCCCTAGCCGAAGGTTTCTTGGCTCGCCACCAAATTGAGGAAATTTTTGATCTATTGTTTTCCATTGAGAGAATCTGCTGGGTGACGAAGCTTTCCATCACATATTTTCTCATCAAAATGCCATCTCAAGTTCTTTGCATCTGTGGCATTAGCAAATAGACGCTTAAATCGTGGTATTATTGGAAGATACCACAGAACCTTTAAAGGAGAACCTTTGGTCATCTCATTATAATCACCATCATCTTTCTTCATTTTGTATCTTGAAGTCCCACATTTAGGGCACTTATTCAACTCTTCATAATCATTTCTGAATAATATGCAGTCATTAGGACACGCATGTATCTTCTCATATTCCAAACCCATCGGACACAAAATCTTTTTTGCCTCATACATTCGTTTCGGAAGTGAATTCCCTTTGGGAAGAATATCACTCAGCAATTCAAGCAATTCCGTAAAACTAGCATCGGTCCAACCATTTCTTGCCTTCAAATTCATCAGTTTCAATACGGTTGTCAATCTTGTGTAATCATCTTTGCACCCCGGGTATAAAGGTGTCTCTGCATCACTACACAAAGTTTCAAAGGTGGAAGAAAACTGTGTAGAGGATTCAGACCTTATATCACGAAACATATCCGAAATTCTATCACCAAAGTCTTCATTCACAACCTTCTCATTTGCAGACAGTGTAGTCTTTCTAATTTCTCCATGCCATATCCAATTTGTATACCTCAAATTTATCCCATCACAGATAAGATGCTCTTTTATCTCAGAAATACTGTCGACTATTGTTTAAACATTTGACACAAGGACAATAGTACAATCCATCTCCTTTACTAGGGGCATTTCTCTGAGCAAACTCAAGAAACTTTTCAACCCCATCCTCATATTCCTTGCTAATTCTCCTAGCTTTCATCCAACTACGATCCATTGTTCTACAGATTATTTAAACAATACTTTACTATCAATCAAAATTCATAACGAAGGAAAAAAACACAAAATAACTAACAGATTATTTATCACTAAATTCTTATATTTATTACAAAAAATTATCAAAAATTCGAAATAAATATCAAAAAATTATAAAAAAATTTAAAAACTTCACAATTAATCAACTCCAAACATTTTAACATATTTCTAATACAGTATGTAAAAAGGAATTAAGGTTTTCTCACATCTAATGCCTACCAATTAACACCAATCAACGGTTCAACCACATAAAAATGCAAAATGAACAATAGAAGCTAACCACAATGTAAAACTAACAACCCATTTCATATATAACAGATTTTCATGGCTAAAACATTCAACAAACCAAGAAAAATTGAAAAGAATGAAAGAAGAGGATACTCACAGAGCAGAGAAGCTTCAAACGCGAAGTGAGCGGCGGCGGATGGCGGCAACGGACCGATCTTCGGTTAGATAGTGGAGGGTACGACCGGTTTTCAGTGGTGGACCACGGCTGAGCAAGAACCGACGGAAATGGAGGCGCAGTCGACCACGGCGGAAAGCGGCGCACGGCGGCAAGGCTCAAGGGCTCAATGGAGGAGTTTAAAACGGTGGGCTAGAGGCGGGAATGGCCGGTAATGGCAGTTTTACGGTGGTGGGCAGAGGGGGACCACGGCGCACTGAAGAAATGAGAAAGAAAGTGAGGAGTCGAGCGGCCGAAAGGGGGTAGAAGAACACACTTTCCACGGCGGTTTTCAATAAAACCGCCGTGGAAATTCATTACCCCTTCTACTTATTTACAAAAATGCCACCGCGTTTTTTTCCACTTCGTTTTTCTGCTGAACCGCCGTTAGTTTGCGACGTTAAAGGTCTTTTTTCTAGTAGTGATTTCTCCCTAGCATCTAAGCATGACGATGTCAACCAGTGGCTTATCTTGCTCAATGTTGACAATCAACTCTAGTTTTGCCTTGCGATTTGTGTCTGTCTCCCATTACAAATCGCCATCCACCACACTCCCCATTTCCAAATCCAGTCATCCCACTTAGTAATGTAAGTTTCTTCATCTTTCCCAGTGCTTGCCATCCCCAATACTCACTCCCTAGTCATTTGGGTCTCTTTGCTTGACGCTCATCTCTCCATGTTTCTCCTTCATTTCTCCTCCTTTCCTTATATGGCAGCTCTCTTCTTCATGTCTGGGGATGAGTGGAGAAGGGGAAAAAAAAAGTCACTATGGGTTTCGTGTTGATTCAAGCAAGTGGAAAGATCAAAAGGGGCAGGACACCCATATGCTCAATTACTCACTGAAACAATTAGCTTGTCAGGACTGGTGTTTTGTTAGTCTGTTATGCTTGAGTTGAAAAAAAAAAAATTGGTCCTTTATTATTATTATTTTTTGCCTTCCTTTAAGTGGCAATGGGATCCATTAGTGATTTGGGTTCCTTTATTCAATTTTAATGTTGCTTTTTTTACAGTATGCCTCATTTGATTGTCAAATTGAGATTTTTTTACTACTTCCCACTTTCTCCTTTTCCCTTCGGCTTAAGTGTTTTTTTTTAAAAAAATTTTAACAAGTGGGGTCTTGGTGGCACGTCTCGGTCCCATCGCGATTCCATTCCCGTCCCAATCGAGACCGAGACGGGATGAGACATAGGATAGAAATTGTGTCCCATCCTTTTTTCAGGATGGGATTTGGGATGGGGGTGTCCCCGTCTCGCCCATGAGCAGCCCTACATGTGATAGTGTCATTGGGAGAGATGACAAAATTCATGAGAACAAGAATACAAAGTTTGGCAACATTATTGCCATTTGTGAGGACAGTTGAATTGTTAGTCCAATTGAGTTTGGGCATGATTTCAAGCAACATCATACCTATCATGTTAGTCATTGTTACAAAGAAAATTACTTTGGTCTTGTTGTGAGGGTGTGTGGTGATGGAGGCGAAAGGATGAGGATGACAGAGAAATGATTAGTGAGGATGAAAGAAAAATGAGTGGTAAAGGTGATCAAGTCGATGAACAAGAAGAGGCTGATGAGGATGATAGTAAGAGGGACGATACATTATTAACAACACTTATTCCCAACAGCATCCCTCGCTGGTCATTGAGGAGAGTAACATTAAAAGAGTGATATTATTAATAATGCACATTGCAGCAGCATCCCTCAAGCTTCAATATTCCTCAAATCACTTAATGAAGACCGCAGAAGGAGGATTAGGCCTCACTTGGCTGTACAACTCTCTTTCTCAATATCCCCTGTGCCTCATCATTCTTTCACAGCCTCTTATAGCTACTTGGAGAGCACGCCACAACATCCTCGTTTTCTTTGCTTCACCAGTGAATGCGGGTCTATTAATTATTTAGATAATCTTGACTCGTTAGATTTGTGGAGCGCTATAGATTATATTAATTATCATTTAAATTTCTCAAGTCACAAAATTATTATTTAGATCAGTCTCATTTATTTTTTAATTGCATATTAATATTATGTTTTTTTTATGAAATATTAATTTTCCATTTTTTCCATATGTAATTCACGGAGGGCCCCCTCACAACTTTATAACATAAAAATTGTTAATCTTATTTTGGCTTCACAATAACTGCATCTGATGTGTGTGTGTTATTCTCCATGTGATGTGAGTATAATAACTAACGTTTCAAACAATTTCCTTACTAAGCATTTTTATTATATTAAAGTAGAATAATTACCTGTGAATTAACTCAGCTTGTAAATGTTAAAATGTTAATAGTATTTAAATTGTAAGCTACATTAAAATAAAATATATTTGTTTGACCGACCAACCATTCCAAGTTGATTAGCGCGGTTAATGGGCACTGATGTGGTCATTTTATATTGTCTTTCAAATTACTCTTAAATTTCTTGCAATTTATTAGTACTAAAAGGAATTTAAAAAAATCTATATATACTTGCTTTCCGCACTTGAGATCTAGGGGTAATTTTCTCTTAAAATTATGTCACATCAAAGATATATTTATTTTTTTGAAGTGTGATTCACAGAGCGCTTCCTCATAACTTTAGAAAATAGAAATTATTAATCTCAATGAAATAGATTTTTCTAAATTAAACTATAAAAAAAAAGTATTACCATGACTCATGTTTTATTACAGTAATTCGTTCACTTCATGAAACATCATTATTTTGTTTTTACAGCAAAAACCACATGTCCTTATTCATCAACTTTTCGTCTTCAATGGGAGAGCGGAAAAAATTTAATAAGTTCGATTTTCTTAAAAAATAGGAAGGAGTATAGTTGAAAGATTTCAGTTAATTTTTCTTATGTTTATCAAATATCACTTGTCTTGCCTTCCCTTTTTGCTTCTCCCTCAACTTCCTCTTCTTCCCACCGTAAAACACCTTTTCCTATATAACTCTACTAATTAAGCTCCTTATTTATATCTCTGGGCTTCGTGTGCCTTGCATATATGATGATAAGAAGAAATTTAAGATAGCAAGATTGTCTTGTATTGCTAAACTACAATATGACTAAATTATAATTAAGCACAATGTTTCAATTGACCCTGAGTTAAAATTTTTTCTATGAACCATACATGCATGTCTATGCCATGGCACGTGGCAAAGTGACACAAATGTCTGCTATGTTGGTAGCACATTTTTCTTCTCTCTTCTTTAAAAAAAAAAAATACTCCAGCAAACCAATTCTGATGAGGAGAAACATAAAATAGAAGATTTGAAACTAAAAATAAATAAATAAACAGATAAATAAAATTACCAATCCTCACCACTACACTAAATTGTTGCCTGATCTGAGGAGGAACACAAAATATTTCTCCGTAAACAAGATAACGTTGGTCAAATGAGTACAATTATATTATGACAAAAGTTACTGCACAACACCTGATATTATTATCTGTTTTCCAAACGTATGACATTATATTATGAGAAATCTGTGACCACTCTTCATCAAAATTGTCACCCAAATTCTTAGAAATGTCTAAATGTTTTGGTGACCTTTCTGAACCTTTTAGAAAAGAAAGCAAACTCATGTTTTTTGGGAACACAACTCAAGCATGTATGCAACATAACAGAAGTTATATCACATCCCAAAAAATAAAAATAAAAATAAAAATCCTTTCGACAACGTGCACAGACAATGTACTTTATAATAAACGATTATTATATTGTATCATGCATCTATAATAAACGATTATTATATTGTGTTATAAATTTCACAATATCAGAATTTTAAAAAAAAAATCCATCTTATGTCCGAATGATCTAAGATTTAAATCTCTCTATTTATTTAATTTCATGTGACTTTAATGCTTAATTAAGAAAATGTACTTTATAACTGGGGTTCTATGCACATAATAAGTTAAATTAAATTATTAGAATGTACATACAAGTACAAACTAGAAGACTATACTCCCATCTTATCCATATTATAATAAATTTAATTATGTAATAAACCTTTTTAAGATGTATGTCATTGTCAAAAACAAGTTATAATAAGGATATGACATGTGAGGGAGTACATTATGACAGTGGGGAATGCTATGCGTTTAATTATATATTGATTTTTATACTGTTAGAATAGATTTTATTGCTGAGATGAAAATAATTACAAATAAAAATTCAAACAAGAACCCAGCTTTAAGAATTGTTTAGAAAATCTGAGAAGCAATTTTAAAAAAAAATTCTTTTATGTTTTACCAACTAAAGTTTTTCTCACATGATTATCTTATATAGTATAAAATTACTTTAAAAAAATTAATCCACACATACTTTTATGTTGTTTTCTAATTTTAAGGACGTAATTGAAAACATTCAAATATTATAGACTACATTATTATTATGGGCCACGGCCTAAAATCGACTTGGGTTCTGTATTACAAAAAAAAAATGACAGAGAGGGAGAGAAAAATCTAAACAAGCAAGTTTTTTACGATGCACGGATATTTGAGAGCGTAGTTTTACCCATATTATGATACAGAGATAAATGGGGCGGCCAAAGTGTAATTTTTGCCAAAAGCAAAAGCGGTGGTACATGGAGCAGCACGGCAATGCACCGCGAGGCACGACTTGACTTGTTCCCTTGTGAGTTCAATGGCACGCGTGGTATAGGAATAAGAAGGAGGGTATGGAGTTTCAAAAAGTAAAATCCATTTTCATGAAAAAGCTTTTCCATGCTCATATATTCTCTTAATATTTCATTTCATTGTGGGGTATTCTCTTAAAAGTTATTTGTTTATTCATTAAAATTTTCGGGGTAAGTTTCAATATTTGCCTAATTAGACTTTTTTTTTTTTTGAAAAAAGAAGCCTTTATTTGACGAAAGTTGGTTGGAGCAAAGTCTTTCTATTCCGTGTGATTTTTTAATTAATCTTAAAGTTTCAAATATTCGTCTTCTTAAATTTTGAGATAGAATATGATTAGTATGATATAAGACATTTTTAAATTAAGCGCATGAACGATCTTCGATAAATTATTAAATTATCCACCAAGGTTGACATTTTTTATATTAATTGATAATTGATATACTACTTCCGGTCTTAAATATAAGAGCTAATAAACTAATTTAAGTATATTAAGGACATAAATTAAGTTAATTATTTGTAATAAATAGGTGCTGTCTTTCTTAAAATATTCTTACTAATCAAATGTATTGGCTAGATCTATCATTATTAGAAGGACTGTTTTAGAAAAAGAATACATAAATATAAAAGATAAAATAAATTGGAGTTTTATATTTAGAATCAAAATAAAAATCAAACGAGGTGTTATATTAAAACCGGAAATATTAGTACAAAAGGGATTGTATGTATACGCACACACTGCACATGCATACTCACGTGTTTTCATGATAAAAATTTAATATTGCAAAAAGGTACAAATTATGAAATTTGAACATAAAAAGAAATTTTTAAAAATGTTATATATGCCGGGGGTTTTCTATACACTAATTTTTCCCTAAGAAAGTAGCGATTATATGAACCACCACCTCTTGCCCTTAATATAACATTTAATTGACTAATTTAGAAAAATTAAGGTAGTTACTCAATTACTTTAAAATGTTTATATTTATTGTTTTTCTTCAAAAAAATTTGATATATAATCTAATAATTTATTCAAGTATTTTAAATAGATTATGTAACATATGCTATAATTAAATAATTAAATAATTTTTTTTAAATTTCTCCCCAATTGAGTTTTATATTATGGATAAGAGTATAAAAGGGTGCATGTAAGTGTTCACACCACAAGTGTGAGGGTCGTGACAAGTAATAAAGTGATGAATAAAATATTATTCTCACGAGAATGTGGTTACAAAATACGGTCAAGTATTGATTATCACACTTTTGTCTAATTTGAGTTACACAAATATATCGAACGTGAAGGAAAACTATTTTCAAAATCAGAAATTAATTTAAAAAAAAGAAAAAGAAAAAGTGATTCTTCAACTCCAAAGACAAAATGGGTCTTACGATTATTTATTCCATTTGTGTTTCAAAAGTGCTCAAATAAATCCTCATTACATTTACTTCTTAATTATAGATTATCCTAGCCAAGGACACTAAATTACTTACAAGTGTTCTCTCAAGTCTCCAAATAGGTGTTTAATTCAATTAATTGATTAGTCTCTCAATTTATTAATTAAACCCCAATTTTCATTGCAAATCTTATATGACTATGTGAGGTTAATGAATATATCTCTATCTCATTAACAAAACCATCCATTCAACTTGCAAACTTCAAGTTCTCACACAATTTTACCTAAATTCTACACTCAACCTAGTCCTCTCAAACATTAATCAAGTGAACCCAACAATTTCATTGGTGGCCAATCAACAAGAAGCATTAAGCTTAGAGGTGATTGATCACAAATATAAAGAGGAAATGAGTACGAGAGTTTAAAATAATCTTAGAATCAAAGTGTTTAGCCACAAATACTCAGAAAATCCATGAGAATATATATAGACAACAGTACAAAATGGAACAAGAGTAGAGAAAGCAAGATAGAGAGAAAAAACCAAAGAAAGAAACCCAAATTTATTCAAAGATCCAACTCTTAGCTCAGTCTCCTCCAAGAAGTAGGCCCTAGCACAACACAATATTTCCAAGTACCACCTAGAATTGTAGAATGGTGGCCAACATTGAGTTTGGGGCATTAAAACTTAGAATTTTCTGACTTAGTCCTACTGCAGTTATAATTTTGTGCTGAGAATCTTATTAAACTTGAGTTGTCTGAGAGTTATATCCAAGAGCTTTGAGATGGAAATTAGGTATATATCTTTTTTCATATGTCACAATTTTACTTAGTTTGATTCTAAAATGCCGCATCAAACATTGACCCACCCAATAATTCACAATGCAAATGTCTGCTTTACTACCTTTAAATTGATGGTTTAAACAATAGTTGTACTATTTGCTGAAATCCAATTCTTCTTCTAATCTTCATGCATGAGAAAAATTCTTGATTAAATTGAACATAAGTGTGTCTATCTTATTTATTTAACACTTGGTTTTTTCTGCATTTTCCAAATCTAAAGCACATCAATCTGTTGGATTCAAAACATCTCAGGGCAATCTCGGATCCGTGTCATACCCCTAAACTTGAACATATGTATCTTGATGGTTGTGTGAATTTGGGCCAAATTCATTCTTTAACTGTCATCGAAAAGGATTTCGATTTATTCATAAGAAATACTTATATGTTAAAGGGACAAGTTCAGGGTTAGTGATTGTGCACAAGTGGTTAGTGATTGGTTTCGGCCCTTATGACTTTAGACT